TATCAGTATTTTGTTCCTTTTTTTGTTGGAGTAATTTTTATTGTACAGATATGCCACATATTATTTATCCATTCACCAAATATACACGTTTGACTTGTTTTCAGTTTTGAAGAATATGCATAATAATACTTTTATGGGCATATGCATACAGGTTTTTGTGTGGACATTTATTTCATTCTCTTGGGTGTGGAGTGGAATTGCTGCATTATAAGTTCATGTTCAATGTTTGTAGAAAGTTCCAACCTATTTTCCAAAGTGATTAAGTAATTTTATACTTCCACCAGCTGTTCTTTCTATCATCAATCTATTTGATTTCTCTGATCAATTATTTGTGATTTTCAGTTTATAAGTCCTGCATTTATTTTGTTAAATCTATTCCTAAATATTTTATTATCTGTGATTTTAATGTGAATTGAATTTTTTCTCAACTTCATTGCTAATTTGTCTTTTGCTGTTATTAAGTATGCAATCGCTATTTTTTTATATTAGTTTCTTATCTCATGGCCTTAATGTACTCTTCTATTATATATCTATTAGTTTCTTCTTTAGAATTTCCTATCTATAAGGTCATGCCATTTTTTTAATAAAAATACTTTTCTTTCTTTCTTTCCAATCTGGATACTTTAACCTTCTTTTTAAATTTTATTTTCATTTAATTGCATTATATAAACCCTCTAGCACAATGGTGGATGTAAGTGGTAAGAACAGCCATTTTTGCCCTGTGCCCAGTATTAGAGAGAAAGCATTGACTTTTTCACTGTTGAGTATGATGTTAGCTATGGACTTCTTATAGATAGACTATATCAGGTTGAAGAGCTTGCCCCCTATTCATTATGTTTTTAGAGGATTTAAAAAATTTGTGAATGGATGTATGATTTTGTCAAATGCGAATTCTGAAACTCTTTGAGATGAGAGTTTTTTTATTTTCTTCTATTATTATGGTATATTCGATTGATTATTCTTGGATATTAAACTAATCTTAAATCTTTAGGATAAATGCTATTTGGTCATTAGTTAGTAATTTTATGATCTGGAAGTGATTTATTAATATTTTGTTAAGAAATTTTTGTACTTATGTTTATGAGTGAAAATAGGTTACACCTTTGTTTTCTTGTGATGTTTTCAATTGGCTTTGGTATCAGGATACATAGAATGAAGTGTTGTTTACATCTGTATATTCTGAAAGTTTGTGAAGAATTGATATTATGTGTTCCTTAAAAAGTTGATTGAATCCCCCCAGTGAAGACATGTTTGCATGAGTTTTTTTCTTGGTTGGGATATTTTTAATTACAACTTAATTTTCTTCATTTGTTTAAGGCCTATTAAGAGTTTGTATTTCTTTTCAAGGTCCATGTTGGTAATTTGTGTCTTTCTTGGAATTTGTTCAGTTCATTTATGTTGACTAGATTTTTGGCATAAATTCATAATATTCTTTTATAGTAATGTAACTAATTTATGATAAATAGTGATTTTTTTCCCTTCATTCTCTGCTTTTGTAATTTGAGCTTTAACTTTTGTTTTCTTAATTGAAGCTACTCTTGAAAAGACTACTAATAAAACATTTCTAACTCAGACTGACTCAGAAAGCTTAAGAGAGCTGACTGAGATATTATCAAAGGACAGGGATAGAGTATCTAACAAAAACATCTTTGAAGGTATCAAGGATAAAAATAAAAGTATTTTTTGATTATATTATGTGAGCTAAAACTATTAATAAGTTGGTTATTAAACAGAGGCAACATGGATCAATAATAATTGGAAAATAACTGATTTAACTAGTAACAACACAGTAATTAATCATGGAAGATTTTGGATACTTAAAATTTACTAAATTTATATTTGAATTTGCTTACCAAGTGTTTAGTGATAACAAGTTTCTACATGGCAAGAATGTTGATAATCATGCTCATGCTAAATGATGTCTGAACAAATTTCATTGCTACTGTCCCAAATACAGATTAGCCAAGTCAGAAAAGAAGTAATTATTTCCTCAGCATAATTTTCTGAATTATATGCATAATAAAAAAATCTGTATTACTCTAATAAATTATATTCTCTTGTACAAAATGTTATGCTCCCTTGAGTGCAGTAATTCTTAAACAGAGATGTTGCTGCTTCCACAACTGGCATTTAAACATTAAGTTCACATTTTTAAACCTTAATTATGAAAGAATTTACAAAGATACAATAGAAGAGGTAATAATATAATGAAAGCCATAAACCCATCATTCATTTTTGACAATATGAAGTGTCATTTTGTTGCTGTTACAGTTTTTTTCTTGATCCTTATTTGGGCTTTTATTTGTAATTGCCGCAATGATGACTGGTCACATTTAATGTTAAGTGAATTTCACAAATCCTCAAGGCCACAGGGAGATCTCGTACCACAAATTGTCTTAGGTAAACTACCAAAAGAATCTTTTTGAAAAATACTTTTAATAATATGATGTTACAGAGGCACCTGGGTGGCTCAGTCGTTTGAGCGTCTGACTTCGGCTCAGGTCATGATCTCATGGTTCGTGGTTTCGAGTCCCGCGTGGATCTCTGTGCTGACAGCGAGGATCCTGGAGCCTGCTTCTGATTCTGTGTCTGCCTCTCTCTCTGCTCCTCCCCCTCTCATGCTCTGTCTCTCCCTCAAAAATAAATAAACATTAAAAAAAATAGTATGGTGTTACAATAGTGATTATGTTTTTGTGACATATTAGTCATTGGACAAATGTTACAATCTATATTGTAAAAGGATAAATAACTTAAAGCTACCAAAAGGGAGTTTATTATGGGTAAAAATTGACTTAACTTAATTTGGATACTATGCTTATACATAATATAGGTAAATCTGCATTAAAAATAATTGTGGGAGAAGCCTCGTCTCCTTTGGAAGACATCCCATCCTCACACCAGCTTCCCAAAATAAAACTGTGATCCAAGAAAAAAAAAAATAAAATCAACACTTTCCTGTTTATATGGCCTCAGGACATATAATTCACATACCATGTAAAATGGAGAGTGGAGACTGATTTTGATGTTATACAGAAGTTGAATAGGTGGGGTTAGTCATGTGAATTTATTAAAGCAATCTGTGATATTAATTTGTTGTCTGTTTTTTCAATAGCTAAATACATTTCAATTTTTTTTTCTAATACAAAGTATATAATAGAATTTAAGAGCACTAACTTGGAACTAGACCACCTGGATTCAAACCCCATATTATTACTTCCAACTTGTGGTCTTTGCATGAGTCATATCCCCTCTCTGTTCCCTATATGTGTCACGAAATACTGTAACCTTAAAGTTTATCTGCATGTTTTAGAATATAGGTACACTGTAAGCATGACAAAGTATTAGGCATTAATTTTGTTGTTATTTTTTATAATCTCCAGTTTTTCATAGGAAAGTAAACCAAGTTTAATCAAATTGCTGACTTTTATCTACATGCTATACCATAGGAATAATTAATGGCAATAATAGATGTGGAACCAGATAACCCCCATAAAATGCACTTGGCAATACAAGTAATACAATTTACCAAAGGTGATCTAACATCTAATGTTTTGTAAAGCACCACCTCTTATTTAATACAACCTATGAATTAAGGACTATTAATACTGTGTGTTGTTCATGAAGAAACTGAGTTGAAGTCGAATTAAATAACTTGTGTAAAGTGCCAAACATTTTCTACCAAATAAGATAATTCCCTCTGACCAATATTAATTTTTAAATCATATTTTCTGTATCCTTCTCCAAGATTACCAATACACCTTCTATAAACACATTTCATATCACAAACTGTACCATTCATCCTTCTTTTGTGTTATGTGTCTGAACTGGTCCACGATGATGGATTTCACTGAGTCATGAATGAATATGTGAACATTTACTACGGTACTGTTTATAGCGCCTATTATTTTCTAACAGGATCATGTAGTTTGAATCATTCACATGTGGAGATTTTGCATGCTTCTTTAAAATAATTCAGAAAGAGGTCTAAAAGAATACTACCATGATGAATCTTCAGCAGCACACAATGAAGGATTTAGCACATAAACCGATCAGTAGGGAAGTCATGGGGCCATATACATGGTACTTGGATTTCCACAGTCCTGGGTTTGAATCTTAACCTCCCATAACCCTAGATGTGTGACTCCGCACAAGGTCCTTCAACAACTTGAGGCAGTTTATCCACCTGCAAAATTTCATAAGGTAAAACTTTATAACATTTAAGGTGAAAGGTGCATTGTTATGTCTTACTAATTTTATTTTATCTAGTCTTCTTCAACAAATGACAGGGAGACAGATAATATATCAAGGGCTGGCGCTAAACTTGTGATGAGACTTTGGCAGACACTTTTTCAAAACAACATTTTTTCCCCTTATATTGAAGGAAGAAAATCTTGATTATTCTTTCTTTTCTTATCACCATCAAGTAATTTGTGGGTGCATACTAGCTTTCCATATCTATGCCTTACTTTTACTTCCTTAAATCTGTTTTTTAATTTTTATTTATGAAAAGCCCTTTGTCCTTCATGCTTCTTGTAGTTTATCATACTTTTCAGGAAGAACCATTTTGAGAGAAATCTTTAAACATGTAGATGATCCTACCCAATAAAGTTTTAATTATATGGACACACCATAGAAAACATGTTTTATCCAGTGATGATTATCACTATGGTGAAGATTGGTTCTGTGACCTAACTCTGGTGTGATGGCTACACACACACATTTGACAAAATACTAGCCAGATGGTTGAGCTTATCTTTGGCAGTGAGTGAATTTCAGGGATGAACACTGATATACTTCACTCCTGGTACTCTGAGAGCAAAGCAATGATACCTTACTTATCATCCTTTCATTGTTTATATTTGGCAAAACACCTCAGATTTTCCCATAAAGGAAGGATCATTTAGATCTATATAATGGTTAATTTAAAAAATTAAGACCATTTACTATAAAAGCAATAACTGACCAAATTTTTTTAATTGTCTGTTTTATGTTTTCAATAGGTAATCCATTATTAAGCAGCAAAGTCAACATATTGATTAATGTCTTAGATGTCAATGAATTTCCTCCAGAAATATCTGTGCCATATGAGACAGCTGTGTGTGAAAATGCCAAACCAGGACAGGTAACTTATTAATAGTATTAACTAATAGTATGTGAAGATCTACTATATACATATGTTTCAGGTTGTAAGACCACACATGAACAGACACACACACATGTATATGCAAATATTTTCATTTAAAAAAACCCACAAGGAATAGTAAATTCATAAATTAAGGGTGATTTATGGATGTAGAACTAACACCACAGGAGATAAAGTGATGATAGCCTAGTGAATATTCTTTATATAACTAAAAAAGTCTATGACTGCAGATCTGCTATGTTTTCCTTTCCTTTACTGCGGAATTTCTATGGAATCTCTGACTATAAATAAGGAACAAGTTTAGAATACATTCTTCTAATGTTTCTTGCTTTCTTCACATGCTTTATGAAGGGCTGCAGACAAGCTCTATAAAAAGCTTAATTAAAAAAATTAAGACCATTTACTATAAAAGCAATAACTGACCAAATTTTTTTAATTGTCTGTTTTGTTTTATGTTCAAATGTAAGGCGTCTTTCTTTGTTGGCCTTGAGTAGAACATCTGGGTGATTCAAAATCTCTGAATTATATTTTCCTTATTAAGTCAATATTGTTCTGGTTGTAGTGAGAGATCTCATGGGGGAGGACACCATAGTTAGAAAAGTTACTATCAAAATCCTAGATGTAATGTGGGTGGTGTTGGATAGCCAAGTTTTTTTCTAGGCTACTATAGATGAATGAATAAAATAGTATAGCATATTATAATGTAACATGATGGTATGATATGATAAGATACAATATGATTGATCAAGAATGAGCAAATGATGAGAGTGGGTCATGAAATAAGAATATGATTAACTCAATACTGTGCACATAGGTTCCAAAGGAAAAATATATCAGTATGTTTGGTTTCCTTTCTATTTTAATCACCTTTAAATAGCATAACTATTCATTTAAATAAATGTTACGTTTTAATTCTTACTGAAAAAAATATTTGAAACAGTATCTTTATTCAAAAAGATTATTCCTTAATCTTCAGTTTTTCTTCAATTTGAATGTATTAAACTGCTTTGTAGAAAATCTGTCCCATAATTGTAATCCTGTGATGTCCACTGGTTAGGTAGATATTCAATTAAAGTTAAATAAAATTAAAAATCAGTGTTCTCATCCACACTAGCCACATTTCAGTTCCTCAATGGCTATATGTGGTAAGTGGCTACCATTTTTTGTCCGTGTAGATATAGAATATTCCCATCAATACCAAAACTTCTAGTGGCCTGTTTTGCTCCAATCCTTTCTCTGATAATTTGGAGACAGTATTAATTTTATTACAATATAACTTATACTGACTCTATAAGTATTTCCCAATTGATAACTTTGCATCCTTACTTTTGAATAGACACAGAAATGCAGATAAAGTTTTAACTCTATCCCTTTAAATGTATCCACAAATTACATGGGATAAGCCCAGTGCTTGCTTTAGTCTCTGAAAGAGTAGCAGCTGCTGCATAAATGTTTAAACAAATAATAAACTGATTTGGTTATTTGAGGAGTTATTAAGAAGTCTTCTGAAATTCCACAACTTAGCAATTTCTCACTTTCCTGATCCTTCACCCTCACCCCCAAAACCCAATCCTCTATTTTTTTTTTTTTTAGATAGTTAGGGATAGCAATTCTTTTATACCAGTCAGACTCTTAGAATGCACAAAATGAAAGTCCTTTGGAAAAAGAACTCCACTTAATGCTTCTCTGCTTGTCTGGTAAATGAGTTCAAAAAGTTGGGAATAGTAAAAATGGCTCAAGATAACTTGATTTTCTTACATCTGGACAAAGTGGTAAGCAATCTGTGGGGTCCTCAGAGGCTTTTTTTCTAATAAATATCTGTTGGGCTTTCTACTGGGCCACATTTATGTACAAAGCACAATCCTGAAATATTACTGAGTTTTCAGGGAGTGTGGTCTGTGAGCATTTCCTACTTTTAACCCAGCCATCTGTCCATTGTCTAGGAATTATGCATAGGAACTGTCTATATCTTCAGGTCTATAATTGAATATGTATGTATGCTAGTATGCATATATCCATATATATGATCTCTATCAAGAGACAATAGGAGAAAGAGAAGGATGATACTATCTAAATCAACAATGGTGAATCACTGAAGTGGAAGAGTTGGTTTTCCTTAGGGTAGTGACTCCCAAGTGTCAATTCCAGAGAAGTGCCAGTTTATACCAAAATTTTCTACTCTGTTATTTGAAAGGACATTGCTTCATTCTAACATTATGTTCTTGATCTATTTTGATGTTAAATAACTTTAATTTAGTATATGATTATACTTGCTGATAGTAGTTAAAGGCAAAACAAAACACCTGGCCAATCAATCCCTTAATAATTTACAGAAAATTTATGGATGGGATATAGTGATCTGACTGAGCATATGGGTTTATGTGAAAGAAAGATGAAGTTTTATAGAATTGTGACTCATTTACACTGAACTAGAGAACTGAATTTCTCATTAGAAAATGAATTTGTCAAATTACAAATTAGCAATAGTGCACCAGGCACTAAAAGTCGCAGTATATATGCTTACGTGTGAGTGTGTGTATGTATGTATGTGAACATACATGCACACAGCTCTACAGGAAGGTAGATCATAGTAATAAGGTTGAGTTTAACCATGGAATGAAAACAAAAAGTAGTAAATAAATCACATGTTTAACGACATCTTTCTAAGAACACATGACGTATGCTTTTCCCCCTGTGACCATGATTTAGTACTTGAACTGTGGTCTTGTTTAGGCAAATTCAAATTTAGTCTAAGAGAGTAATCACCTGAGCAGTCCTCTGCCCTCACCCTCTTCTACATACAGTTCCCGAAATTCTTCCTGATGCAAAGGCATTGGATATGTTAATAAATAAAACTTCAAAGCTACTATAATTTGCTTATCTGTGTAGTGAATTGTCAATTTCACAGTTTTTCTCTTAGAAGTTATTTTTAATCTCTAAATTCTTAAGGGCATTTTATTGAAGTGTCAGAATTTTAACTACTAGACACACAACCTATGGGAGAGATTTAGGAAAATTTTTGAAACAGGATTGTTAGTACTTACTTCCTAAAAACATTTTATGAAAATACAATTAGTATTCTTGCCCATTGGGGGAAACAAATAAAAGAACAAAAACTGATATACATCTCTTGAATTTCTCTTTGTCAACATTTTACTTATTTATGAAAATAAAACTCATTCACAGAAACATAATTATTCTAAAATTTTGCTGTTGCAAGGGCTTTTAAATAATCAGAGATTTTCTTTCCAGTAAGCATTTTCATATTTACGTTAGAAAGCATGTATTTTATTTAGTTTAAAATGCAAGCAAGCGCATTTTAATTTTATTTTGCTTATTAGTGAGAATTTTCAATGCTGTTAAGCTTTTTAGTTATGTGATATTGATTTGGAATTTACCCAGACCTTATAATTGTACCTGCCATTATGAACTGTAAATGTTTAGATATTTGTTTATAAAAATTATTTGTAAATTGGTCTACTGATATGAATCCTAAAAATGTCATTTTTGTCTCCTTGCCATGCATCATTGACTAAACTTATTAGCCTGATATGTCAAGTTCCCTTTGAAACTCATGACTGACTTCAAGTTTCATCTCAACTTTGTTTCAGATAATTCAGATAGTCAGCGCTGCAGATCGAGATCTTTCACCTGCTGGGCAGCAATTCTCCTTTAGATTATCACCTGAAGCTGCCATCAAACCAAATTTTACAGTCCGTGACTTCAGAAGTAAGTTTAACCACATAAAAACTTACCTCTTACCATGTAACTTTGTAAAAGGACACAAAGGCAACAACCCATGTTTTTCCTAGAAGCACTCAGGTTCATAAAATATGGAAATCCATATATGAGAAATACAGAATTCTATAGCTAGCAGTAAATTAAATATTTAACCTATATAGATTGTATCTAATGAGGCAAATTGCTTCCATTTATAATGTGGATGGTCCCTTAATGAGTCAAGCCAAAATAGCCTATCTGAGAAATTGAATGCTTTCTATGTTTTAAATGTATGCACATGCACATTACTTGTACAAATAGGTAACTTATTAGCAATTGGTTTATTTGAATGACACATAGTACAACACAGGTTAAGAATACAGGCTTTGTAATTAGAATGACAGAGGTTTTCATTCCCACTGCGTTATGTCGTCAATGGTAGACTCTCAATGTATGACGTTATACTGCATCATTTTAAACTCGCAGTTGAAATAAATCAACCTCATAGTATTTCTATTAAATAAAATATTACATGCAAATCTTTGAGCACAAAACCCAAGACAATATTAGTGATCACCTCTACCATCATATCTGCACTCGCATGTCTACCACTGCCAACCCCACCATCATCACCACTGCTACCGCTACTAATACGGTCACATCTGCTACTGTGCCAGTCACTACAAAAATACAAAGGACACTGGATTAGAAATATTAAAGCCAAGTAATGGCCAGCCGTTCTTACATTATTAGTCCTGTATATCTGTGGATATTTTATCCTTTAGAAACATGAGTTCATAATATTGCATAGTAAAAAACTAGTTTCTTACTAAACTCTATGCTTATAAAACAAATGAACCAATTGTGATGAGATGATGATGATTGACAGAAGTCAAAGGATGTCTGAGAAAATTTACTTGTCTGTAAATATTTAGAGGAGGAAATCAGACATTTTGCCGCAGAAGGAAATTCAGTAGGATTTTCTTCATCCAATAGTGTAGCATGAGGAACGGCTATAAATGCAATAGGGTCCCAAATATGAAAGACCATATAAGTAGAGATGCCACGTATTTTATTATGAAAACTTGAATACTTTGGGGAATAAAAATGGACCATATTAGTAATTTTAATTACAACAGCTCACATAAAATAAGCCCATCCAAGGCATACCAGATGTGGTCACCCTAACTAGAAGCCATTTAAAGAGATTATAACTTTGGAATGGTTTAGAAGAGCATACTATGTTCAAATTTGCATAAGGAGATCAGTTTGGTTGTAGTGTGGAGGAATATGGGATTACTTTTGATGCTATTGCAAGAGAGGGTGAGAGTCTTAGATTAGGGTAATGGCTCATGGAGATATGTGGATAGAGATAGAAATTTGTAGGGCTGGACACTAGATTCCTTAAATTCCAGAGTGAATACAATGGAGAAGAAGACTAATCAGACTTCCAGGTTCCTGGCTTGGGCAACAAGGTAGATGATCACATCATTTAGGGACATAAGTGTTGACTGTCTTCCTTATTGTACCCTTGCTAGAGAATCGATATCTCATAATATGAATTACATCATCTTGCCTCATAACAATAAAGTTTTGTCACAGTCTGACATTGTTTGCTTTTTAAATATGCCATTTGTTATATTCCTCCTTTTATTTTAAGTTATATTCCACATGTAAGTGTTAAGGTTTTAAAAACTGAATAGAAACTCTTTCACCTCACATTTTTACCTTCCCCTTCCCCTCCCACTGAGGGGTAGAACTTTCAAGTTCTACTCTGCAAATTTCAATTCTATGATACAGTGGTATCAACTATAGTCAGCATGTTATAATGGTATCAACTATAGTCACCATGTTATACCTTAGAGCCTCAAGCCTTATTCATCTTATAACTGAGATTTTGTTTTGTTTTGTTTTGTTTTGTTTTTTACCAATCTTTCCCTATATTCCCCCACCGTCAGGACCTGGCAGCCACATTTGCACTCCCCATTTTTATGAGTTCCTTTTTGTTGTTGTTGTTCTTTTTTAGACTCCACCTCTAATATCATGCGCTGTATTCATCTTTCTCTGCCTGCCTTATATCACTTAGCATCATGCCCTCGAGGTTCATTCATTTGTCACAAATGACAATATTTCTTTCTTATAGATGAAGAAAGCTTCATTATGTGCATATATATTTATAGTCATATATATGTAGACTTTTTCTTTATCTGTTCTGCAGTAGAAACTATTTTAAGAGTGGAAATGAGATTTAACGTCTTTCTTTCCTACCATGAACAGCACAATGAACTTTATATGGTCATATATCAGTAAGAATGATGGATTGAAAATTCAGTAGTCCCCCTTTTCCAGGGGGATATGTTCCCAGACACCTAGTAGATGCCTGAAACCAAAACATAGAGTGTACTGAACCCTGAATATACATGTCTTTTACTATACACAGATATCTATGAAAAAGTTTAACTTCTAAATTAGACACAGTAAGTAATTAACAGAGATAACAGTGAGGTAGAACAATTATAGCAATAGGCTCTAATAAAAGTTATGTGAATGTGATCTCTCTCTTTTTTTTTAATATCTTGTACTGTACTTACCCTTCTTCTTGTGATGATATAAGATGATTAAATGCTCAAATGATGAGATGAAATGAGGGGAAGGATATAGACATTGTGGCATAGCAGTAGGCTACCATTAATGTGGATAATGGGGGTAAGGGAAGGTTATTGTAAACATTAACAAAAGGGTAGGGTACATTTTTTTTAAATGTTTTTTTATTTATTTCTGAGAGGGAGAGAGTGAGGCAGCGTGAGCTGGGGAGGGTCAGAGAGAGAGGGAGACACAGAATCTGAAACAGGCTCCAGGCTCTGAGCTGATCGGACAGAAGCCCACACAGGGCTCAAACCCATGAACCCTGAGATCATGACCTGAGCTGAAATCAGAAGCCCAACCGACTGAGCCAACCAGGTGCCCCGGGTAGGGTACATTTTGATATAATGTGTTCAAGAATATCAAACCCATGGCTTCTCAAGTACAGATATATCAGCTTCTCCAACAGCCTCTTCTTAATAATAATTTTCACTCAGGTTTCAGATTTTAATCCTGACTGTTCCTTTTTCTCAGGTTCAAGTATTCAACCAGTTGTTGCAGATTTCAATGTTAATTCAACTAGTGCCCATTCCTCTATCCCTACTGTCATCATCATTATCTGGCATTATGAAGTTTCATTGGCAATGTTATAATAGAAATTTAGCCTCTTGGTATTTTGTTTTTTCAATTTAAAAAATACCCCTATGTAATAACCAAGTCATCTTCTGATGTAAAATAATCTTATCAAGTAAATTTTTCTCAACTTAGTGCTTCTACTATAACTAGTCCAGAGAAACTGCCTAAATTTTAGTTGTTGAAATTAGAATATACAAATAGCTGAATGAGTATTACTGAGTTAGTATTTTCTGACAAACCTATATTTTATTGAGTACTATATTTTTTCTAAAATTAGTTTCCATGATTCCAAAGTAGATATGATATATGGTTATAATAAACTAAATATAAATACATTAGTTTAAAATAGCAAAATATGTGTAGGAGTTACTCTAATAAACACAAAAAAATGAAATGATGTTATGAATAAAACCAAATTCCCACTTGTAAGCATAAAAATATAATAAAGAACAAATGTATGCAAAATAATACTTTCAATGGAAGTATCAATTGAATTTATATAAATTTTAAAATTTTTATTGCCTTGGATTATTCTAAGTTAATACTGCTGTTGTTTCTGTCAGAATTAAAATGAATTATTTTTGTAGTTATATTAAAATGATGATGATTATGATTTATTATGTTTAAAATTTTTAATGAATCTTGATGTTTTTAACACACTTTCTTTTCTATTTTTCTTATACTAACTAATGTGCAAAGGTGAAAAATGTACAGATATATATATAGATATAGATATAGATATAGATATAGATATAGATATAGATAGATATACACATATATATGCAGATAGATATAGAGAGATAGATATATAGGACAGATATACATCTAGGAAAAATAAAAAGTCAAATAGGATATTGGTATTTGTTATATTTTAAAGAATAGCTTCTTGGGTAAGATATTTTACACTTTCATGCCTTGTGATCTTTGCTCTTCATGTAGGAAAACACCCACAGTTGTATTTTTTTCTCAGTGAGATTTTGATGTTAAAAAACATGGGTCAATTCAACACACTTCTTGCCAATAACCAGTTTTATATTCCTCTGAATTGAAAATTTAATTCTTATACCAGATAAGACTAATGTTTCTTCCTTTCCTAAGGATTATTTTGATTACATTTTATTACATTTGGCAGCTCTTATGATAATAAAAGAAAGAATTAAAATAGGGATGTATTTTGCTGATGCAAGAAGAGCTTCCTACTGTTTAACAGATACCAACTTTCAGATTTGAAGTGAGGCTTTCAGTAACTGTCTTATCATCAATGTCATGTTTTGTAGACAACACAGCTGGAATTGAAACCCGAAGAAATGGATACAGTCGCAGGCAGCAAGAGTTGTATTTCCTCCCTGTTGTAATAGAGGACAGCAGTTACCCTGTGCAGAGCAGCACAAACACCATGACTATTCGAGTTTGTAGATGTGACTCTGACGGTACCATCCTGTCTTGCAACGTGGAAGCAATTTTTCTACCTGTAGGACTCAGCACTGGGGCTTTGATTGCAATCCTGCTGTGCATTGTTATACTGTTAGGTTGGTTTCAATATTAATCCCATCTTCTCTCTCTCCTCTCTGCCTCTCCACAATTTACCATGTAAATCAGTTTTTATTCACTGAGATGTCACATCCGGATAGAAGGAAGATTATCTATATTGAATTATATTCTTTATTAATACTAATTTTCTATTTAATACCTTATGTATATATAGAATTAAGAATAAACAAATAACATCATCAGAAACATAATCGTACGTTCAAGCCCTTGGGGATTCCAAGGAATAATAGTTTGTTGCACTTGCCACGGTGAAGTTTTTCATTACAAATATCCCATTTACAGCAGTGTTTTTTAATTCACTTTATATTCCAGTAATTATTGCTATCTAATACGATAGTGCATAATCTTTAAAAATACACTAGATGAACCATGGTCCTCCAACACCAGTTCAATAAAGGAAGAAAAGAGGAAGGACAGGAAAGAAATGAGAGAAAGTAGAAGTACTCCTCAATTTGCTTTTTTTACCCCCCTGTTTAAATTGCCAGCCAAAAACAGTTCTCATTCCACTTTTCTCACAGCTCCACACATAAAAATTCTTACCATATTCACTAGAAAGGAACACACTCAAGCATCCCGAAGCACTGCAAAGGGAAGGGATGGAAGAAATGTATTCTGTAACATCTCTGTGAGAATTAATATAAATCTACTTTAGGGGTTTCCCTATTCCATCAGTTCTGTGCGGCTGGCTCCATTCACTTATTAATTCATGGGCAGATTCACAAAACCAGAGAAAGCTTTTCTGTTTTGCCAATCATGTCTTTAAGTTCAAATTGCAACAGAGATAAAACTGGGCACTGCGGAATCTGTTTATATGTGCTTCACAAATGTAGACACATACCATTATCTTTAAGATAGAAAATTAAAAAAAAACACCTAGGATGTAAAGCATGGAGTAAGGCGTTATACAATAGTTTTTGGAGAACATTCTCTAAGTCAGAAGCTTCGTTAGTTTGGAGGTTGACGTTGTTCTGGTCCAATTTGGATGGTGTAGATACTAATTCCACACAAGTAACTTTGGTGTATGGAGATAAGTTTCCTTAGTATCCTTATAATTTATCCTAAATTATATCTGGCATCTGTTTGTGCTGATGATATGCACCTTAAAAGAGAAGATTCAAAATAACATCCTCACATCTGAACCTGAACACACCATCAACTGGGTGCTAACCTCAAATCAAGCATTACTCTTGCTTCTCTCTTCTCAAGGAGCCACCAGAGTCCCAGAGTATTTCCGGCTCAACCTACCACGACTTGGCATGTTCTGGAGGCTGACTTTTGTCCTGTTTGGCCCTTTTATAGTGTAGCGTGTCATTTTGCTCAGGTCAGCGTCATTATGCCCTTCCATCTGTTACTCATTCCTCCAAATACTTCCTGGTGTCCACAGCGCCCTTGTCATATTTTAGCACATAAGTGTTCAAGTACACAGCAGTGAACATTGGCATTTCTAGTTCTGTTATAAAGTATTCTTACAAATCCAACTACTCTTGGACCTCCTTAACCAATCTCAGACTCCTTCACATCTTCCCACTTATTCTTAACCATTTTCGTATCTTTCTGGGATGAGGGGAAGCATGAACGTCCGGTCGTGTTTAGGGGGCCCTCAGACACATCGGCTAGTAGTCCCTTTCTCAGCCATAGCAACTCTAAAGCCATTTTAGATGTAGGCCTTCTCTGTGAGACTTGCAGTTTCTGGCTCATTCCCCAGGTGAGCAATAGTCTTTTGCATTTTGGGGTCTCCTCAAATTCTGGGAGGAGTGCAGAGTGCTAAACATCCCTCCAAAGCCCATCATACAGAAGTTCTACCTATGTCTCCTCTGTCCTTTCAGTTGGTCAACATTTAATTTGGGAAGAAGAGGGAAAAAATGAGCTTTCCTCATTATGTAATCTCTAATTTCTAATCTTCTGACAAGAGTCTTCCAGACTCTGCTGTAGGAAATCAAATTCTGTGGCTTTCAATTTATTTCCACTTCTGTGGAGGAGAGTGGGTCTTATGATGACCAAAGCTGAGCACTGATTTCATTATTTGAATCTGTGCCCATTCACTTCTAGAAGAAATAAGCACTTTCAATTCAATGGGTTATTAAGCATCAACTAGGAACAAAGAAAGATTTAAATGAGAGTGTATAAATTAAATATTTCAAAATTGTATCATACTTCATGAATGCAAACTGAACACTGGGCATTTGATTTGGAAAATGTCTCAATATATTAGGACACGGAATTGAAATAATTAGAAATCTCAGTTGACACAATTTATAAAACTAAGGCCCTTATATTATGCACTCTTCTTTCCTTTCTCCTTTCCTTCCTTCCCTTTTTAAAATTTATTGCTTTTAAAAGTCATTTTCACAAGTAGATTTGGGTTTATTTCATTAGCAATGCAAGTAATGTTATAGCTGGGAAATCTAGCCATGAATAATATCTAAGTGTTACTTAGGCGCAATAATATTCAAGTTGTATTATACCAACATGATACAGCTCCCTCTATGCTGAGAACAAGCATTCTTTTTACAAAATTTTGTAACACACACTTTTAACTGCTACTAAAATATTTAAGTATAACACAAACTAATATATAAGACTGCCGTTGCTTGATTCTGTGAATAATTTTGCTAAGGTTTCTTGTTAGCTACAATTCGAAAATGAAGTTGAGCTTTACACGATGAACAAACAGTGTAAACATAGATATTCTCCTTCTTGACTATAATATGTTCACTTTGAAAATAATGGGTTTGAAATCATTTTAGAAAGATACCGACTACATATTCTCACCTTGCAACTTTTGTCTTGTTCTAGCCATAGTTGTGCTGTATGTAGCTCTGCGAAGGCAGAAGAAGAAAGACACTCTAATGACCTCCAAAGAAGACATCAGAGATAATGTTATCCATTATGATGACGAAGGAGGTGGGGAGGAGGACACCCAAGCTTTTGACATTGGTGCTCTGAGAAACCCAAAAGTGATTGAAGACAACAAAATTCGCAGGGATATAAAACCAGACTCTCTCCGTTTACCTCGTCAAAGACCACCAGTGGAGGACAACACAGACATACGGGATTTCATTAATCAAAGGCTACAGGAAAATGATGTGGACCCAACTGCTCCACCATATGATTCATTGGCTACATATGCATATGAAGGAAATGGATCAGTAGCAGACTCCCTTAGCTCTATAGACTCTCTCACCACGGAAGCCGACCAGGACTACGACTATCTGACAGACTGGGGACCCCGCTTTAAAGTCTTGGCAGACATGTTTGGTGAAGAAGAGAGTTATAACCCTGATAAAGTCACTTAGGGCAGAAGCGAAGGATAAAACACAACCAAATGGAGAAATTTAAGAAAAAGAAACACAAATAGAAATATCACACACACACACACACACACACACACACACACACACCAGGCTTTATAGGACACAATCCTTTGATTACCTGGTTTCTAACAAGTTGCTATATTTATCATATTGTCAATTTTGTTTTATTCTGCCAAACAAGATAAATCCTATTATATGTACTTGCTTGGTTTTGTTTTGTTATTTTGGAAACACACTGAGACAAGCTCAGGCCTATTAAATACAATTTACTGACATGACAACATAGAACGAAGATAGCTATGTGGCATCACGGTGGAAGAGTGTTAGATTTTTCTTAATTCCACTAAAGTGCCTATTGAAACTCTTATCATTTAAAGTGGTGTTCAATACACTCTGCTGTGATGGCATTTCAGGATTCAGAGATACAGAGGACATAAAACAAAGACATTGTCTTTATGTCAAGGAGCAATAGCAACATGCTGACTTCTAATTCCTTTTGAGGAAAAAAGAAGAATACTTTCTGAACTCCATCTTCTTACGATTCAAAGGGTTTTTTTTTTCTTTTTTAAACTGTATGCCAAAACACACTTGTTTTTCCTACCCTTTCAGAAAATTTAAATAAATGCGATAATATCAAATTCAATATGTAAGTCCTGAATTTTAAAAGCAATGTTTGATCTTCACATTAGTTCATATTAAAGGTGTTCAGCAAAATGTTACCTTTTTCCAAAAAAATAAATTATAAAAAAGGAAACTAAAAAAAAATCCCTCTTTATGAAGAGAGGCCTCAGGGCTGAAACTCCACATTAAAATAAATATTGGTTTTGTCTTAATACTGTGCTGGTGTGTGGAAGGTTCGTTTTAACAAATCACCAGATTAGTAAAGTGTTCAGTCATAGATAAAATTTTAAGTTGCGTTTCTATGAAAATTATTAAAGAAAAAAGTGCCATTAACTTAAACATGGGAAGAGAAATTCATTACAGAGCTTCTCAGAGTTTCTTACAAACTAGCAATTTTGTTTGATGAGCAAAAAATAAAATAAAATACATGTCAAATAACACAGGATGGATTTATAGCATGACTAAAACTATTTACTATATATATTATTAAACAAATAAAAAAAAACCCAGGGATTTCAGAAAATTCAAACCAGTGACTAATTCCTAAAATAAACACAGATGCAAAATCAAGCAGTTGATTTATTTATTTAATCAACATAGATTCCAACTTTGTAAACATTATTATTATATAAAAGCACACAGTTGCTTCTTTATGTGATCATCTACAATAATTCCAATATAACTGATCCCATACAACTAGTCTATAAAGAACATTGCCTTTTTAATTTAATGCAGATTTCTGAGAAATGTTAGATTTTATAAGCATACAAGTAAACTGTAGTCATATACTTTACTTTCAAGTGAACTGTATACTATCTAGAAATGCGCTTAACAAAACAGGTAACTCTGAAGTGAAAATATATTTTCTTAACAATATAATTATACAAATGACTACTGAATTATTGAGACTATCTCTAGGAAAAAAATAAAAGTTGCTTATAAGATCCACCCTGAAAATGTGGTCAATATCTAGCTGTATTTATGAAATATTTACAAATATATTTATATTATAGTTGCAAAGTTGAAAAAGAATTCACATACAGGAAAAATGGGTAGAAATATGGATGGTATAAGCAAATTATGTTCAGTCCTATTCATTATTAAGTAGTACTTCAAAAATATATATAAGTGATGATTACGCAGTGGTAATTTGGCTCTTAGCATTTGCAGTTCACATCCCTTCTTTGGTGCCACATAGTTGCACACTTTCCTTGGTTTCCATATCAAGAACAATTGTTGAACTTCTTTTCATCCTCACAGCACCCAGATTTCACTGGTGTCTCAACTTTGTGGACTACATTCAAATATTCACATAATGTAATAATTTGCAACATGGTATGCTTTGGGAAATATTTATGTAATTTTTTTTAAAGCTTGTGATGTCACAACCATACTGGGAAAAATGAAGGCAACTTTTGGGTTTGTTCTAGCAGGATGATTCACTATGCAGTGATGCACGATCCCTTGAAGAAGGTTAATATGGAAGATCACTTCTAGCTGACAGCCTGATTCTTGTCAGGAATTACTGAAGTTTGTATCTTGTTAGAGGAACTAACTGCCTCTGTGAGCAGTCATAGATAGAAAGCAATGGTGACACAAAGAACACTTGGGAAAGACAGGTCATTTAAAACCACATGACCATGACTGAGATGCTAAGCAAATATGTGAAATTGGTGAGTCTTAACTTTCATCAAACTAATAAGAGTTTGTCCATTACTTCTCTATTTTATTTTTGCTACACCACTGCAATAGTTTGTTAGGGCTGCCATGATAAAATACCACAGACTACGTGGCTTAAACAACAGAATTTTATTTCCTTCTGGTTCTAGAAGCTGGGAGTCCAAGATCTAGGTGTTGGAAAAGTTTGTTTCTTCTAAAGGCCTCACTCCTTGGCTTGTACATTTTTTTTCTCCTTGGCTTGGCCATTTTCTGTGTCTTCATATGGTTTTCCCTCTGCGCTAATTCCTCTTCTTTTAAGGACACAGGCCATACTGAGTCCACTCACGTGGCCTCTTTTTACCTTAATTAACTCTTAAATGCCCTATCTCTAAATACAGTCATATTCTGAGGCACTGGTGATCAGGATTTCAAAATAGGTAGACACAATTCAGCCCCTAAGAGCCAATATATTTAAAAGCTATATTTGATTTACAACAAATGAGTGAACAAATGGGAAAAACATTATATTGAAAGAAAATAATTTCAGGTACAGTAGGAAACCAGAGTGATATAGTGAAAAGAGGTCTTTTGGTGTTCATAAACTGGGATTATAATGGGTTATCTTTTAGACTAATCAATACTTGTAATATCTTATTTTTAATTTTTAATAAACAGTCCCTGGCCTTCATTTGGGAGTTAAACAATGTAAAAAAAAGGCTTAGAATTTACATGGAGAATTTTGGCCATTAATAATAATCATACATAACTTTTAAAATCACATTACATGTTTATCTTTATGAAAATAATATGTACATATTATATGTTACATATGCATGTAATATATATTTTAAATGCAACCTTGTGCTCAAAAAGTATTAAATCAACACATAAGAATGGAACTGTGATATACTAAAAATAATTTAAAGTTGCTTTGTACCAAATTCTATCACTAACTGGAAATGTACTGTGGGGCAAGCATCTTTGTCTCCATGTTTTATTCTCTTTGGTAAAATTTATCTGTTGCCCTTGGTGTTATCTAAGTTTCTTCTGAAATTTCTTGATACTTAAGTGCTAGCTATAATTACAGGAAGTCTGTTAAATTGTTTACATATTGATTACATAAAGTTTTGAGAATCATAAAGATCTTTAAGACAGAATGAACAAAAATCTTTGAACTAAGGATTTGATTACTTACATTGGCTTACCATGTACCACATAAAGAGAGCCAGGCAAACATTTCTTAAGTCATAATGTCAAAATGCTCCAGCAAGCCAATGGTAGAAATGTGCATAGAAAGAGAGAAAAAGAAATATTAGAGCCCAGATCCTGAGACAGAGAGGAAAAACAAGCGATAGAAAGAAAAGATTAGAAGTGTGTGTCAGTCTTTGTTTTTAAAAGGAGGGCATTGTGGAAATCCTTGGAAAAGTTTTAGTAACTAAAGTATTAAAATGAAAATTTTGGCGGCACCCAAGTCGGTGGCTTGGTTGAGTGACTGACTCTTGATTTTGGCTCAAGTCATGACCCCAAGATAGTAGGATTGATCTCTGCAGTGGGCTCCATTCTGAGCATTGAGCCTGCTTAAGATTCTTTTCCTCTTCCTCTGCTGCTCCCAGCCCCTGTCATAAATAAAACAAGATGAAGTAAAATAGGAATTCTTAAAAAGCGGGTGTAAAAATGTAGGCGTATTTCAGGTGGGCCCCAAAATAAGATGAGTGTGAAAAGAGTTACTAGGATGTCAGTAACATTTGTCTGTTTCCTAAGAAAAAAGGAGTGGGAAGGACATAATTTTACAAACACATGTTTAAACATTTCTCTTGACTCTTACCTAATCCATAGTCTATCTAGCTATACAATTCTCATTTAGGTTTTTTAAAAATATTTTGAGGATGTTTTCTATCATATTCTGGCATCCAACCAAACTGATGAAATGTAAGGATGAATGTATCACTCCCTCATTTTATGCAATATGAGTTTTTTCATGATGATATTCAGAACTTTTTCTTTTCCTTTTCATTATTAAATTTCATACCAATGTGTCAAGATGAGCCTTTTGTCATTCTCAAGACTTGACACTGAGAATGACCTTTCAATATCGAACACAGATCCTTCAGTTCTTGGAGATTTTCTTGTATTTGTTCTCTAATGCATTCCTACCCCGTGTTTTTTCCTATTCACCCTTTATGGGATTTTTAATAGTTGATTGGATGCAATGGATTTAAGAGTTAATTGCATTATCTTTTAACTATTACTTTCTCGCTTATATTTTATTCCATTGTCATGATTATCTTTTCATCTTTGTCTTCCAGTCCTTTTTTTTTGTTTGTTTGTTTTGTCTTACTTTAATTTATTTCCTTTTTTTCCTTGGTTTTCCAGTTCTATTGATAAACTCTCTAGTGATTTTTTTTTCTGATTTCAAGACCTTGTTGTTGTTGTGTTATTATATTCTGTCTCTTTCCTGTTATTCTGTTCTTATTTTTAGATAGCTTGTTTCTTTACTCTCTATGATAATGTTAATTTTAGCTCTTTTTAATTTTTTTTGTAATTTTTTTCTCTGAAATAAATGTATCAAATAGAGTGGGGGAAAGAGAGACAGAGACAGACATTTTAGTTTATTCTATTTTGATTCAGGTCTCATTCTAGTTCTCTGCCATATTTGACATTCTATGTCCTGACACATTCCAAGACTGTCATGAGAAGATAAGTTCCCTACTGAGCTGCAACATTGCTTTTTTAGTTTACAGTTTTATACTTAGTTTAATTCATCACCATTCCATTAGCCTTCCAGTAGCTTACTCAAAATGCTGATCTGCTAATAGGCTGTGTGCCATTCTGTCTTTCATTGTGGTGATGCACACACACAAACATGCACACAAATAATTACATATGTATAATTTAAAAATATCTATAGAGAAATAGTATATACATATTATTTATAAATATATATTCCCTGGGTCACCTGGGTGGCTCAGGCAGTTAAGCGTCTGACTTCAGTTTGGGTCATGATCTCACAGTTCATGAGTTCGAGCCCCACATTGGGCTCTGTGTTGACAAGGTTGAAGTCTGGAGCCTGTTTCAGATTCTGTGTCTCCCTCTCTCTCTGCTCCTTCCCACTCGCACTTCTGTCTGTTTCTCTTTCCCTAAAAAATAAAGATTAAATATATATATACATATTCCCTTATGTTTAAGTTATGTAATTATTATAACCTTTTGTCTCAGTATGAAAGGATCTTAGATATATAAATGCAATCAGTCATAAGTACCAAAAATTTGAAAAGAAAAATTGATAATTTTTCTCTTACATCCAAATTTTATAAAACAGACTAATTTAGTTTATATATGTACACATATACACACAGAAATATTTATTTGTAATTACATGGTTGATAATTCTAATTTGCAGTTAGTTTTGGACTGCCACTTAATTCCTTTATTCAAGTCCCTTATGTTTCTTACCGTAATGGATTTTCATAAATAATCAGTCAGACTCACTAAATTTCCCAAAAGAACTTAATCTTTAATAGTTTAATTGAATTTTTAAAATTGTACTCTAAGATTAAAGAAATAGAAGTTAAGAGTGTCCAAATAACTTGAGCAAAACCAAATTAATAGTAACCTAATAGGTGGTGGACCTCTTCAATCATGAAGTTTAAGTAAACCTAACCTTGGCTTCTATTCTGGGGTTCTTTCACTGTTTTTCCAACTATATCCTGTTATATATTATATTTCATTGATGAGTATAATTAACACAAGTTCTTGGGAATTCTGACCCATATTGAAACATGTTATTTTACTTTCTTACAAAGAAGAAAGAAACTGGACATCACTGATTCTTATGTCAATATCTTAAAACCAGGGTTTTAAGACACAATAGTATCCTACAATATAGTAACAATACTATATCATTGAAAATATTGATCTATCTTACCAAGAAGCAATATATTTAAAGCTATATCAATTTGCACTTCTTTTTGAACATCCACATTAATGGTCTGTGTGCTATTCTGGCCTTAACTTTCTAAAACTTCTTCATCCAATTGTGTCTATTTTCCCTTATTTTCACTTTTTTATAACTTAGCCTTAGTATCATTTACATTTCCAAATTTAAATGCAAATTACCTAAATCTCTTTCAATCCATCATCAAGTGAATATAGTATTTGCTATGATTAAAAATTCCAATATGTTATCCTTGAAAATTATCTGAGACAATTAGCAGTCCCTTTCTCCTCCTCTGTCAACATTTTTTTAAGTAATACTTTTTAATGTTTATTCAACTTTGAGCGAGCGAGCGAGAGAGAGACAGAGTGTGA